CCACGGGTTTCACACGGAATTTCTTCTCTCCCCTCCAGGCAGCGATACCTCAGCAGGACAGCTGCATCGAGATGCAAGGAGCCACCGTGGTAGATCGGGAGAAGCAAGACCGGCTGCAGCCTACCCGAGGCAACCTGCTGCTAGAGCAGGAGAAACGGCGGAACTGGGAAACGCCGAGAGAACTGGTGAATGTGCAGGAACTGCAGAGGCAGCTGGAGCTGGAGCAGCGGCACCTGGAACGGGAGAGGAGTCGGCAGCAGAGACCTCTGAAAGCCCAGAAGCTTGGCTGCAGGAGCCTGGGCAGCGGAGGGGAAGTTGAATCAGGCGAGGGAAGAGCTGGAGAGGCAGCGAGAGGCCTGTCAGCAGGACACAGAGGCTGCGGGGAGCTCAGGGAGCAGCCGAGAAAGGGAAGGAGCGTCTAGATCAGTCAGGGAGCTGAAGGAGCAGAACGCAGCGTCAGGCACGTTCTCCCCAGAAATGGGACAGGTGAGAAATTGATTTTCTCGGAGTTTTACTTCTGTTAACCTGCTTGCCCCTTGCTGCAGCACTAGCCCATGTTTGCTGTTCACCGGGCTCCTGGAACCGTCATCTGAAAGAGCTGGTGACGGCCCCTGTCAGAGAGCAGAGCTCTGGCAGCTCCCCGCTGTCTGCGAAATTCCACCCGGACATTTGGGAACCGGAAATTTATTTTGAAAGACAGAAACAGAGAGTAAGTGATTTTTGAACCGACATGAGCGGTGCTGCCCCGTGCTGTGAGCGGGAAGGGGGACACTGCTGGGCTCTGCTGGGCTGCGGTGGCTGTACATCCCTGCGTGCCTGCGCGGCTGGAACCAGACGGGCTCCGCACACCCACCCGTGTGCTGCTGCCTGGAGCCGTTCTGTGCTGCGGTGTGCGAGTTTTGGGAAGGCCCCCGGTGTCAGAGGGCTGCAGAGAGCAGGGGGGCGGTGAACTCCCCCCAGAGGCTGTGGTGCCAGGCTGCGGTTTTACCCGCTGGCCGTTGGCAGTGCTGGGGCCCGGGTGCTGCTGCCTGCTACGGGGGCTGCACACCCCCGTCCCTCAAGCAGGGCATTCAGAGGGGTCTGTGGGGGTGTCTGATCCCAGCTTCTGCCTCCTCTCCTGCTTGGAAACCCCCATGTTGTCCCCCCCCGCCCCGGGAGACCACCACGCCCAGCCCCCGGAACCAGCAACTCTGTGACATCAGCCTCGTTGCCAAGGGCACCGTGGGCACCTCGAGCCCTGTGGGCACTCTGCCGGCTGCTGCGCTGGTGGTGATACCCCTCAGCTCTGGCAGCTGGCACGTGGCACTGGCAGTGATGGATCTGCTCCGTCTCCTCATCGTGCTGGCCCTGTGCTGGCCTGCGCAGGGCACCTGGGACAGCTGTGGGTAAGTGGCCGAGGCTCTGGCAGGGAGCTTGGGCAGGCTGATGGGGTTCCCTGGAGGGTCCCCGCTGGTCCCCCGTGGCCACAGCACGGCTTCCCCAGCCCCACGCGGGAGCCTCGGCTCCTGGCAGCACCCGGGTTGCTGGCACAACTCGCCTGCGGGGCTACAGCAGAAACGTGGGTGGCCACCCGCCCGCCCCCCGGGGCTCCCTGGCCTTGCTGTCCATGCAGCGCCCCGTGGGGAGGGCAGAGGGCTGACCTTCAGCCGGGACAGCCGCGAGCTGTCGAGCAGGACGCTGATGGGTTTCTGGTTACAGGGGGACCTGCGGGCTCCTGAACATGGCTGCTGAAGACGGGACCTCGCCTGTGCTCGGGGGAAAAGACGCCCTGGCAGGGCCCCAGCCCTGGATCGTCAGCATCCAGGACCCCTGGGCAGCAGGCACCGGACATGTGTGTGGAGGGTCCCTCATAAGCCCACAGTGGGTCCTGACAGCAGCCCACTGCTTCCTCGAGGCCAGGTAGGGAAGGCCAGGCACGGGGATATTCCCCGGCACTCGCGGGTGCCCCGTCCGCACCACAGGCTACTCCCATCCCCTTGCCTTGCCGTACAGCCAGTGCCCGGGCACTGCAGAGCCCGGCTGAGAGGCTGCTCAGGAGAGAGCTGGGCTCCTGCCACGGCTTCGTCCAGCCTCCAGCTCGACACGCCTCGAGCCCAAGGCACGCAGGGACAGTCTGAGCCTCCGTAGCACTACTTTCCTCTGCCCCGTGTCAAGCAGAGGGCAGGGAGCTGCTGGGCTGCGGCAGGACGTGGCTGGGCTCCTCTGAGCCCTCTCCCCATCTGCCTTCCAGGAACATCACCATGTGGCGCGTGGTGGTCGGGGCCACCCGCTTGACCCAGCTGGGCCCGGAGGCCCAAGTGCGGAATATCAAGCGGCTTCTGGTTCACGAGGACTATGGGAACATCCCGCACAGGCAGGACATTGCGCTGCTGGAGTTGGACCAGCCTGTGCAGTGCAGCAGCTCCATCCAGCTCGCCTGCGTGCCCGACGCCTCGCTGAACGTGTCCGAGCTGACGACCTGCTACGTCAGCGGCTGGAGGGCCTCGACGGCGAGCGGTGAGTTCCCAAAGAGCGCTCGGGTCCCGAGCGCGAGCTCGACACATGGGGGAGGCGGGCTGGGCTTCCTGCCAGCGGAGGCGAGAGCCAGAGCCCGCCTGCGGGGACTTGTGCCCATAGAGAGATGGGCCTGGCCCAGGGCCCGCGGCGAGAGAGCAGGGCAACGCCGGGGCAAAGCCAAGGCCCAGGGCAGGGAGGGGCTCCCCCAGACAGGGCGGGAGAGCTGGCAAGGAGCTGCCGGGCATTAATTCCTTTCTGTGCTCACAGATGTAAGAACAGTGGATGTGCTGCAGGAGTCCAAGGTCCACCTCATCGACCTCAACGTCTGCAACACCAGCCGGTGGTATGCAGGGGCCCTCCACCCCCACAACCTGTGCGCTGGCTCCCCGCAGGGCGGCATCGACACCTGCCAGGTAGGAGCCTGAGACAAGGCAGCGCCCAGCGGCACCGGCAGCCCCCTACAGCCGCCCAGACACCCCCCGGCACGGGCTGTACCTGGCCAGTCGCCCTCCCGCCACCGCTGGGTCCCCACCGCTGCTGGGGCTCCCCTTCCCCAGCTGCAGGTCCTTACCCAGGGCCCCACTTGCCCCAGAGGCCCGGGACTGCCCAGAAGGCCCATTGCATGCTCCTGGCAGCCCCGAGGTCCAGCTCCCAGCCCTGGAACATCCCTCTTGCACTCGGCCAGCGTCGCTGTGCAGAGATGAGCGCGAGTCCTACCCCACGGGCCCACCGCCCCCTCCCAGACAAGGTCCTGTCGGCCCCAGGACCTGAGCAGAGCCTCTGCGCCGCAGCACAGCTCTAGGGGCGCTGGCAGAGAGAAGGAGCCGGCCCTAATGCTGCCAGCGGCCATCTGACACCACCCTGACTCTCACTTCTCCCTTTCAGGGGGACAGCGGTGGTCCTCTCGTCTGCAAAGACAGCACTGCTGACTACTTCTGGCTCGTTGGGGTGACCAGCTGGGGGACAGGCTGCACGAGAGCAAACAGGCCTGGAATCTACACCTCCACTCAGCACTTTTACAGCTGGATCCTCGAACAGATGGGGCTGAGCCCCGAAGTAACGGCAGCTCCAACGCCACAGCCAGCCTTCCCCTCAACCCCCTTGCAGACGCCAAGGCCAACACCAACACCATCAGGCGGGTTCAGCTCTGACACCCTTCGACCCCAGAAGATGGTGGAATTCTTCACTTGGTTGCAGGAGCTGGTGCTGAACCTGTGGGAAGGGCTGAGCAGCAGGATGGAGAGGATCCAGTGCAGGCTGCAGTGCACCACGGCCACCTCCTGCAGGGGCTCTGCCTGCTGAGCCAAGGGCAGCCTCAGCGTCAGCGGCCTGCTCGGTCCTGCCCACGCCCCTCCGCCTGCACAAAAAAATGACTTTTTCTTAGTTGTTGAATAAAGTTGCCATGTTGCACAGCTCACCAGGCTTCGGTTCCATTCCGTCTCCTGTGCAAGGCAAGGATTCCATGCCCGGCCCCTGCAAAGTGAGGCTGCAGGCAGCCAAGTGGGGCACAAAGGGGAAGAGTGACTCCGAGGGGTGACCCCGAGCCTGGTCGGAGGGGAGGGTCAGGGTGCAGTGGGAGAAGGGACCACTGGTCACAGGGCCGAGAGGTCTTGGGGACAGCAGCTGGAACACAGAGTGTCTTAGGGCGGGTGCTGGTGGGACCCCGGTGTGCGTGTGTACAGGGCTCCAGTGGGCTTGAACCTGAACTCTGGTGACCCGGGAGACACGGCTCTGGACAGAGCCAGGCTGTGCCCTGAAGGAGGAGCTGGCCATGCCAGCACCCACATCCCAGGCGCTCGGTGTCCCTGCTGTCAGCTGAGCCATCTCTGCACGTGCTGCGCTGGTGAACGCAGGGAGTGAAGGGTGTTTGTGTTTCACTAGTCAACATCCAGTCCTGCCCGTGGGGAAAGGCAGAGAAGGACCGGCCTGTGCTCCTGGCGATGGACGGGCTGGTTACGGACCCAGGGGTGCTGGTAACGGCCTTGGCCTGCCTGTGTCAGTCTGTTCTGCCCTTCACATTACTGGTGGGTGTGTCTGTGCGTGTGGCTGTGTACCTGCCCTCTGGGGTGCAGCATCAGTCTTTGGAAGACACACCCGGGGACAGCAGCAGCCGCATCCATGAGGCTGCGACAGGAGAAAGCTCCTGGGGGCGAGTCCCCCAGATTCAGCTCTCGTGGGACTGAACGGAGAAACCCCCCGTGCTCAGCAGCGCCTGGCTGCTCCCTGACAGAACGGGGAAGGAAACCCAGAGAAACTGCAGCAGAGACGCCGAGGGGCAGAGGCAGCGCGGGCGAGGTGTGAAGGCGACGGCCCGGGCTGGCAGCTGGCCTGGCCCTGTACAGTCACTGGGTGCTGCTCACGGGAGGGCAGCAGGGTGCGAGCCCAAAGCTTTGTACAGAAGTGATTTTTGAAGGTGGCTGGCAGAGGAGTTTTTTAAGTACAGGAACTGCCCCGTGGCAGGCAGGTGGTTGCAGGGGTGCTGCCTTGACGGCACTTTGTCCAGTTGAGTCTAAACACGTTGCTTGATTTTCACAATGTGAAGGTTTGGGTCCGACTGAACGGGCTCATTTGTTACTGTCTTAAAGTCCTGCTTTGCGTCCGTCCTGCCATCCCCTAATGCAGTGTGCTTCGGCGTTCCTGTGCCAGGTGCAGTATGGAGCAGTCTGGAGCTGCTGAGGCTCTCTGCAGGGTTCAAGGACCTGTGATCTTGCTCTTCCATTTGCCAGCACGCTTTGGGCTTCGTCTGACCTGTTGCATTTTTCACTAGCGAGCGCTTTATGTTTTCAGGGCTGAGGGTGGTCTCTCCTCGTGGTACCCGAGAGAGTGAAAATACCCGTTTGACCCCGAAGGCCTTTTTCCTCACGTGGAAGCAGATGCTAAGCCGTTCTGTTAACTCCAGTGGAGAAGGGCTGGAACAATCTGGCCCCGTCCTGAAAGCCTCTGTGCCAGTGAGCGTCTCCAGGATGGATTACCTGGGACGGCCAGACGTGGCTCGTAGGGACGGCACCACCCTGGAGAACTGCCCCTCCCTGCGCTGAGGAATGAAGGGCCAATACACCTCCTGGGTGCACCTCGTCAGAAG